GCGGCAGTCGCTGCTGACGATATCTGAGGCCATATTGCTGCTGTTCTGTGGGGTTTCGTATCTATGGTGAAATCAAGAAACTTGCCATCCCTCGTAAAACCTGACTGACGCGCAACTACTGTATAATGTATCCGTAAATAAGACATGGTTGTCTGGATTCATCTTCCGTTGAGAATTAAACATGCGCCGTCGGAAAAATGCTTAGATAGTCTAAGCAGTAGCAGCAGGGGCCGCCTCTTGGCCATTGGCCTCGTTCTCATGAGGAATATTCGCCTCCTCGTCCGTCTTGTCGGGGCTGTCAATAGCGACCTTGACGGCAATCTCGCGACCTTCGATCTCCTTGCCGTTCATCTCGGCGACAGCCTTCTGCTGAAGCTCTTCAGAAGCTAGGGTGACGAAACCGAAACCACGACCCTTGCGGGGCTCGCCGCGAGCCTGGAGCTTCTTGATCATGAATCGGGGGATAGGACGAAGGGCAATCTTGGCGGAGGAGGGCTGGTAATCATTGAAGAGTTCCTTAAGCTGTTGAAAAGTTAGCAGGTACCGAGTTAACCATCAGCAAAATGACGACTTGCCTTCTCCTCGGTCAGGTCATAGGGTAGGTTAGCGACCATAACCTTGTTCTTGGAGGGGATGCCGTCAGCAGGCGGTCCGCGCTCACGACGCTCACGAGCAGGGCCCTTCTTCGCAGACTTGTCTTTGTCAGCATCCGCCTTGTTGGTGATGTCGGTCAAAGGCAAAACCTCAGAATCGGCAGCGGTGGTAGCATTCGCGCCAGCCTCAGTAGGGGCATCATCCTTTCCACCCTCCTAAATATTGTTAACAGCCATTGGAAATATGTGCAGATTAAGGTAAAGACTTACAGTTCGGCCGCCACGACCAGCGCGACCAGCACGACCACGACCGCGGCCGCGGACACGACCAGAGGATCGGCGCCGAGAGCCTTCGGCACCAGCCTCGCCGTTGGTAGCTCCATCGGCCTTCTCGCCAGCCGGCTGGGGAGTGCGTGCAAGTTGAACGGAGACCTTTCGCTCGAGAATCTCCTTACCGGAGAGTTCAGCAATGGCACGATCGGCCTCGGTGGGGGTAGAGAGATCCACGAAGGCATAGCCAACGGGGCGGTCGGTACGAGGATTCTTCGGAATCGAGACAGATTCACTAAGTGATAAAAATTAGCCCGGATTTCAACAAGCTTACTTGATAATAGCCAGAGATTATTCAAGTCGGCCTTGTGGCAACCCCCTCCATTTGTGATAATACAACCATAAACAATCGCTTGTTGCCAAGTCCCTATAAATAAAAGGGACTAGGCAGCAGAAGCTGAACGTATGTGTAGGCCCTTGTGTAGCACAAGGGAATCCAAGGGAAGGATGGGTCAACAAGTAAATATTTCACCACAAACTATGGAAACAATTCCATATTTAGTAGGAATGAAATCAGTATGTAGACTTACACAAGGTAACCCTTGAAGAATTCTTTCAACTCCCCCTCAGTTGTCGCATATGCGAGGTTGCCGATGTACAATCGGCGGCCCTCGGCGGCACTAGCATGGACGGCATCCTTGTTCTCGTCCTTGCCAGCGAGAGAGGTATTGCTCAGAGCATTGGTAACGTCGTTGACGGCAGCGTCAGCAACTTTCTCCACAGTGGTGGCCATTGTGAATGATGGTTTCTGGTTGGGAGATTAGTTGAAGGTAGGTTGATTATCTTGACAGGAGGCGATGATAGACGTTGAATGGACGTTCGGGTTCGGGTTCAGTATTGAACTCTTGAACAATTTCGGGGGAGGAATAGGGTGGCTACGTGCCCTAGAGAAGATTGAAAGAGTTGGGAATCGGTGAGTTGTGACACAACGAGCTTGAGATTGATGGAATTGAGAGGTGTGAAGAAGAAATGGGAGAGACCAGATGTTCGGACGCGGCCAGAATTTTTTAAGGGTTGTTGTTTCTTGTGTGGGTCACGCCAAAGTTAAACTTACGGCAGGCGTGGGGCAAGTGAATATGGCTGCGCTTGACAGGAATCTATGGGCCAATTATAGAAAGGGGGATGCATGGGCTTGCATGGACTTAGAGTAAGTACCTAGGTACGTACTTGCCTACATGTCCTGTTGTGATCTACTTATATTCAATTATACTGACGGAAGCCTCATTGTAGATTTTAACTCGGGATGCCTGAATCATCAGTGACTACCTACCTAGGTATGTACCTAATATTGTAATTGAGGCGAGCCGCATCGGCCTGAGGCAAAATGGTATCTAACCTTAGGTAGGTTAGGTACCTATATATGTAAAGCAAGTGACTCAGTCAACAATATTGTAATGACATGGTGATAAGCTAGAAGATTAATAGAAGGACAAGATGATAATGAATACCTAAGCCTTAAGGTACAGCAGATGCAAGTGACACATGGCGAGAGAAAGTAAGGGAAGGCAAGAAAGACTACTGAGCTTGTAGGTGCGTAGATGCAAGTTTGAAAGAAATATTACTATGTGAATGGGATTGCCTGTTTCGGCGAGTCTTGGTTACTGTTGCCTTGAGTTCTTTCATATGAACCTCTGAGGATTATGATGGAACAGAGAATTATGTACCTTAGGTAGTTATTGATTTCCTAAAATGTCTACGTAATAATAGGTACATTTGCCGTGTTGCATACATTCAATCGTACTAACACCGAAATCTCCAAAGTCGGTGACACCGGAGGGTGTCTGTCGATGGTGCCTCCTTCGCGCGCTCGAAGAGGATTAAGGTACGACTGTCATTAAGCTCGAGGTTTCCGAGAAGTTGGGATGGAAGGACATGGATGGCTCGTTAGGTTGCATTAATAAGTAAGGTACCTAACCTAACGTATGTAATTCCTTCGCAAGTTCCGAATTACTACGCTTCGGTGCAGAAAGAATGCCGGGTGTAGATGTTTACCTAAGGTACTAGACTCGGGTAACTAAACATCAGTTCGGCAACATGCTTGAATTGTCGAAATTGAATTTATCGAAAACTCGGGGGGCGCATTGAAAACAGTAAATTACGCCATTTCAATGCCTCCTTGGTGCATCTCCAGCTTTGTTCTACTAAAATCGGGTAACTCGCAACCAGAGACAATATGACATGTTATTAAAAGGAACCACGTTCTCATTGTCGGAACATTTCTTTCCACATGCGAACTTGGGTACGATTAAGTCAAATCACAAGTCAAATCACAAGTCGGCCAATCTTCTGGAAGCTCTGAAAGAACCTAGTTTCTGGGGTTTTCGACGATCGAGCCACTCAATGCGGACAATGCGAACCCAACAGGGGTTACTGTAGATACACCCCTCTTCTTCTCGCTTAATAGACACCTTTCTTCACCTACAAATCGAAAAGAAAAAAGAAAACCCCCCTTTTACCCCTTTACGGTCGCTTCAAGAAAACGAATCTTAATACCTGTATTATCACAGACCGGGTTAAAATTCCTAACACGATTAAAGAGTTGCATGGTTTTATACCCGTACATTTTCCAGATTTAAGCTTAATATTCTCTCTCTTTTCCATCGCAAACAAGTCGGTAAAGCCTTATGTCGGTGTATGACTCTTTCAGTCAACTGACGATTTTAGGTGAGGAGCACTACGCAATTGGCAAACAAATTTAGTCCACATGGCTGTTGCCGGTATCTTCGGCTGGGTAAGGTAGGTAGCTTACTAGCTGTTGCGTGCATGAAAGTACGGCCAAATCGGTAGCCCTAACCAAAATGCCGGCTCCCAGAATGCAAGAGTGTAAAAGAATGCAGACAGCTAAAAGGTCATATCAACGTTACTTTGCAGCTCCTTGCTGTCATGTTCCTGAAGCGCGATCGAGTCAAGATTGTCTCTTGGTCTTTTATTCGGCGATTTACTTATTAATATAAATCTAATGTGATGTATCAATCTCGGGTTTCCTTGACACCTGCATATATCCATTATGTAAACTACGGGGTAGCTGTGCCCTACGAGATGATTTAGAGTACCTAGGACTCCTAAAGAATGTTTTCCCATCCAATTAAAAGCATGCACGTCACGCAAAAAGAGGACTCGGTTTTTACGTTTTCATCAGACTAGATTCAAGTGACCATAAAGTCTCTATCACTTAAACCTTCCGCGCGCGCTTACAACATTGCTGACTAATAACATTTTAAATACTTCGTATATTAACTAGTAGTTTATAGGTATTTTTCAATGTTATAGAGTTGAACTTCAAGTCCTAGATATTCGTAGACATAACCTCGCAAAGCGTCTTAGAGGTGAAGCGCAATTATCAATCAATTATTATAATTGCCTTTATACCCCCAAAGCACCAGTCTTAATTAAATATAGACCTAAACATCCAAATAGTTGATCGTAAGAAGTACATGTAGAGAAAAGAGTTCCAACAAGATCATAGTTTAGCTCCGAGAGGAATTTTCATTCACCCATAGTACCTATACATAAGTATATAGAATAAGTATAGAGAATTAAATCGAAAGTAAGGAGGACAATGAAGGAAAAGAGATGTCGTCGAATTCTTTTTAACTTACAGCTCGGATCTTCAAAACAGATATCACTAACAAAATACTTATATCCACCTAGTTAAGCCAAAATATACCAACATCAAAGAGTCGAGCAATTAAAACAGAGCAAACTACTATTTTAAGCTTATTGCAGGTCTTATCAAGTTTTTTATATTTCCAAATACGGAATTCCGTTCTTAAATAAAGGCCAACTAACTGATTTATATGATAGGCAAAGCTCGATCTTGGTCTCCTTGCCCGAATTTCTCTTTTCATATATCTATATTAGACCTGCTAATCCGTGTGATTTCAAAAGGAATATCATAGTGGATGATATTAGCAGCCTGGTGGCTGTCTCGGGAGCTTAAAAGACGCCATGCAGGGCGGCCCGAAAAATTATTCTAACTCCCATGCTGTGTTCCAGGGGCATTATGTCGTACAATAGGACCTAGTGTCCTTCTACTTTGTGTTACTGAGCAAGGTAGACAATAAGCACTCTCAGAAAGCATGTCTTGGGTAGCAGCTCTCGGGATATCATCTACCCAGACAAGGCTAAAAAAATCATAACTTCATACATATTCCAAGTTTCAATCAGAGGAATTATATGACTATATCTTTATCTAATCTTTCAACCACTACCTAACTAGGTAGTCACCTACCCATTTTGGATGCGGTATCGTCTTTCTCACGCTACAAGAAACCCAATTCCAACCCAAAGTCACGCACACCGCTCGTAGCAAAGTACTATTCAGGAAGTTCGCTGTTAGTATCCGTGGAGTAAGGAAAACTGGACCATGCCAGAACTTGTTGGCGAAAAGGACGAAGTCATTCAAGCTATCCTAGGCGGTGTAAGTAGCAAGGTTGCGGCTCAATCAATAAAGGCGGCCGTAGGTAGATTTCATGCCATCCTAAACGACAACGTGGTGGTGCGCTTAATTGAACGGCGGCATATGCAGCCAACTCCACAAGGCCACCTCAGTGGCTTGGATAGTATTGAACAACGGCAAATGCATGTTCCCTAGCCATCATCGAGCTCGATATTGTGGAGTCAAAACGTGTTCACCGCAGTTTGAGCTGGCCTTTTTACACATCAAATCTGTATGGAAAGACCGGAAAGGGGTTGTTCTCCTTCAAGGATTACACTAATATTTATGGGACCAAGATAAAGACGTAGACAAACATTTCTCTTGATCCGTATACACCCATAAGGTCGAATATATTATCATTAGGCCCTTCAAAAATATATCTACGTTAAAGACGTTCATGTAGCTGGAACATAGGAAATACGTACCTGCCTGTAGTTCCACATGTGCATGGATGGGTACGTACCTACCTTGGTGAACGTAAGGTGGTAGGTACCTACCTGTATTAGGTAAACCTAAAATGTCATAGATGTGTACCTAGCAGATACAGGAGCAAGTGCGGGGTCCTGATTGGGAGGGGCAGAGAACTCAATAGAGTAAGATCCTTATCTTATCGATCTCATCTTTCCAAACTTGTAATGCAAACCCTTGCAATTCTTCCCTTGGATCTCTCAAGGCTAAAGTTGTACTTGCTCAACATGGCTTCGGAACTCAATGATGACTATACGGCCAGTGGGGATGGAGCCGCAAAGCTTGAGAATAGACGTATACTCATCCTTTATGGTTCCGAGACGGGGAATAGCCAAGACCTGGCTGGTGACATTGAACGGCTTGCAGAAAGGCTGCACTTCAATACGCATGTCCGCGAAATGAACGATGTTGAACTTGTAAGTTGAGATTCATTTATTCTGAATATTCATCATTGCAAAGTCTAGCGACTTATCGTTTGTACTTTACACTTGTGAGTATTGTATGTCACTGTTAAAAATATTATTGCCTTTACACTTTATTCTTTTGTATTTTTACTGGGCGCACGGGACAATAAGTCTTCCTCTAGCTCCAAGGCCAAAAAAAAAAAACCCTATCAATTCGAATAATTTACTACTATTGTCTATTCCACACTTGTAACTGTATGGCCACGCTCTCGTTGCCATCTATCGTGCATTGCGTACCTATGTATACAAATGTCAACAGCAAAAAAAAAACGACAACACACACATAGTAACCAGATTTATCTCGTTTAGAATACGTTACTACAATACCCTCTGATCATATTCGTCATTTCTACCACGGGCCAAGGCGAAGTACCTAAGAACGCTCGCAAGTTTTGGAAGAGTCTCCTCCGCAAACGACTTCCTCCAAATTGTCTGCAGCTAGTTAACTTCACCACTTTTGGTCTCGGCGATAGTTCATACTCCAAGTATGCAACCTCCCTAATCCTTCCTAACCCTCCTTCTCAATTACATCATCATCATCGACTAATTTTCTTAATTCTACCTTATTCAGGTACAACTGGGCAGTTAGGAAACTTCACAAACGCCTTGAACAACTCGGTGCGACCGAATTCTTCCCACGTGGCGAAGCTGACGAACGTCACCAAGACGGGTAAGCACCTTTCGCTCTCTTTTCCTCTCCATTTCATTCTTCGACTTTTTGGTTCCTTTATCTCAGTTACAGTATTAAAACTAATCTTTTCTCACAGCATCGACGGTACTTTCTTATCTTGGTCCCTGAGCCTTCGTAGTCATCTTCTGAAGGAGTATCCGTTACCTGACGGTCTGTCACCTATACCCCTGGATGTGCAACTTCCTCCCAAGTTCACATTAGAGCTAGCGCCCGTGATGGATCTCTCAGATGAGCTGATGCCTGATCGTGATGGGCACCAAGTCAAGAATTCAAACGGTGCAAATTTAACATCTCCTTTTATCAAATCATCAAATGGATATCACCATTTTACGCATCGTAAACAGACTCTCGACAAAAAACAGACTCTCAACGAAAAAGCAGCACTTTTTAGTCATGTCGACACACCTGACCCGGAGCGACTGGAGCAGGCTCTGCGGGCAGAGAGAATGTCTATCAATAGCAACAGCTATCCGGCACGCCTATCAGAGCAGACAGCCAAGCAAATCCAGGGCGGGATAGATATTCTAGACCGACCGAATGTTCTAAGAGACCACCCATCCAAATACCTCCTAGAAGACCCGAGCAGTTGCAAGGACGATCTTCCCCCCTCAGATCTTCTTCCGATACCGAGAGGCTGGCTCGCACATTTGCGTGAGAACCGTCGCGTCACTCCTACTGGTCACTGGCAGGATGTCCGTCATCTAGTTCTCGAAGTACCTACACAGCCAAATTCCAACAGGAGAGGCGATAGAGAGCTCTTCAGCTACGTCCCGGGTGATGCAGTCCTCATTTACCCCAAGAATTTCCCGGCGGATGTACAGACATTGATTGATCTCATGGGCTGGAACGACGTTGCTGATATGCCCTTCGAGCATCGCGCAAGGCAGCAAGATGCGCTTTATTCGAGGCCTAAGAATTGTTACCCTCTTCCTCACTCCACTTTACGCGAGCTCCTTATTCATAACTACGACATAACTGCTATTCCGAAGCGCGTATTCTTCCAAGATATTGCTTTCTACACAGATGACCCTATGCACCAAGAGCGCCTGCGGGAATTTGCCAATCCTGGCCTCTCGGACGAATTCTACGACTATACCTCTCGACCTCGACGATCTATTCTGGAGGTTCTCCAAGACTTCCCATCGGTAAAGATTCCCTACCAGCATGTTCCATCCATTTTCCCTGTCATGCGAGGCCGAGAGTACAGCGTCGCGAGCGGCGGCCAACTGCTTAGGAGCGAAGAAAACCCAGAGATTACGCGAGTCGAACTTCTAGTAGCGTTAGTGAAATACAAGACGGTTCTGCGAAAGACCCGACAGGGACTCTGCTCTCGCTATTTAGAACTCTTGCGCCCTGGCACGAATATCATGATCACCCACAGAGAATATGATACGCTAGAAGCTAGTTGGACTCGCAGACCATTGTTAGCGATCGCCCCAGGCACCGGTATCACGCCAGTACGTGCCCATCTTTGGGATCGTATCGACGAGTCGCAGGCCGGCGATGCTCTCCTCTTTTTTGGCGGTCGAAACCGTAATGCTGACTTCTACTTCCAAGACGAATGGGAAGATCTTAGGGTGAAGGTCCTCACGGCGTTTTCTAGAGATCAAGAGGAGAAGATTTACGTACAGGACCGTATCCGTGAGCAGTGGCAACTGGTCTGCGAATTTATCCAGAAGGGTTGCGTGATCTGCATTTGTGGGAGCTCGGGGAAGATGCCGGAGGCAGTTAAACTAGCCATACATGACGCCATGGTAATGGGAAAGATGGCTCCTGATCGTGAGGCCGCAAAAGATGTACTGGCCAGGAACAACCCGTTATGGGAGGAGGTTTGGTAACGGACAGAATGATTTCATGAGTAGCAACACTACTCCCACAAGATTGTACTATTCTCCAGTCATCATGGTGGATGTAACAATAACCACGCTAAGCGGTAGCTTTGATGTAAATACTAGGACATATTCCTATTCTTAGCTATCAAGTAGACTCGCTAGAGGCTTAATGAATAGCTCTAGGATTTCTACTCATACGTTCATCTATATTGTAGCGTAACATGACTTACTCTAAACCATACTCACTATATACCCCTATCTATCCTATACTACTTGGCTTCTTAAGTACTTAGGTACCTCCGAAAGCTTCGACTAAGATATGTTGGGCTAGATTTGAATTCTTATCATACTAATTCATTCCATAGTGCTTTTTCAAGTCCATTACTGTCGAAATAACTTTGAACAACACAAGGCTAGGGCAAGTAGACTCCTATAATCCGCCCCATCCTCTTTTCCCCGTCAGTCTAGCCTATGTGCTTATTCAGATGCTTTGTGAATGACATTATTCATTGTTCACCCTGAATCCTTTCTCGTTACTTCCAATTTCGTACCGCTGGAAAGAGTTAGAGATCGCTAGTACTAGGAGTCGAGGTTAAAGCCTGTAGAGGCCAAATATATTAAGACTACGCGCAAATATTTCGCCAGCTAAAAGGGGGGATGCATTCGGTAGCATGATGAAAATGACACTTCGGTACGTTAATATGAAATATGCTATGGCGGGAAACTAGTATTACTGTAGCCCATCTACTCCGCAGTTCCGGACACGGACGATAGTATATCGGATCGGCATTGTGCCCATTCAGAGCAAGGGAGGGAGAATAATTTCTCATGGTCCTGGACTCGTAAGATACCGCATCTTGATAAATGATATATTTGATTTCATGATTCTTATTTCTTGTCTAGCAAGCCATGTCTTGGATATCAAATGCTTTGGTCTAGTCGTAGACATCCTTTCCTCCGAATCGTAGCGATCTGCGAGTACTATCAACTTAAATCATTCTCTATAAGCACGGCCGCGATACCGCCGATACCTTGAGAGCCTCCGGCTGTTGCGTTGCTGACGTATGTTAGAGGCTCGAGGGGCGAATTCTCACAACCTGCTGGTTCATTGGCTTTTCTACAGGATCTATTGTCTCCCTCTAACTGATGTTCTATTAAAGTAGTATTAGAGACCTAATCTTGGTGGTAATAAGGGTTTACTGTTAGAAATCCCCTACAAGTTACCTAAATCTATGTAATTCTATAGTTAGCACAGGACGGTGATATGGGCAGTCCTTCAAGTTCTGTTTCTAGATAATATGCTACTTCTTTGTCTATAGAGATTTATCTATTACATGTGGAAATAGACGTGACGGTTTAACTTGTATACAATATTTGACTCCCACTCGAAACAAGTCAATTTTAGTATAACCTATTACACGAGTAGAGTAACTACCGCCGTAGCTGATGCTCCCGCGGTCTTGCATATCAACAAGAGTAACGAAGCCACAATACTATAACAGCTAAATAGCCTTTTGCATGAAAACGCCTGTAGATAGGATTCGTTCCTCTGTCTGTCTATCACACACGCACTTTAGTTCAAGGCTTTCAAATCGCGGAGCAGTTCAAGACAAATACCAAACTAACTCCCGTTTCAGTAAGAGCCCGTCAACAATGCATCCGGGGTGGAGCTATTCCTACTGCAACAGAAGACGCTGTCGCCACGTGCCTAGAGCTTCTACGGGCTAACTCCGCATCTATGTAGGTTGCACCGTGGGTCTCGGTCAGGAACCCGGCATATGCCTGCAAGATTGACGTTACAACGGCTGAATTTTCGACATACATACATAGGGGGAATTTTAAGTGTGGGTTCAATCGGCGTGCCAAGGAGAATGAAGGAAAAAGAAATTGACGAGAAACACGGTGGGAAGGGGGGGGGGGTGGGTTGATATAAATGAGTCCCAAGCGGGTTGATACTCGGTACGGCACTTTTGTATTTAACCTTTGTGTCCTCACCGATATATAGTCCGGGATATCACGATAACTAAACCACGAAAGAATTTGAAGGGCGAGAAGCGCATCTCATTAATTTGGATACTATGTACGAACAAAATCATGCATCTCGAACTCGTTCGGGGAGAGCGAAGGATCTGGGTTACATCGAACGAGTGCTCCACATGCGCCGGCGAGGACCCGCGCGGCCGGCCTGTGCCGTTTCCAACGTTGCACTATGGGATTCCGGTAACGTTTCAAGAAATGATAAAGCTGTACGGAATATGTACATATTTCCTTGATTCTTTTCAACCTTGCCACCCCCTGACGATGCAATGCGGCTCCTCACGCGCCATGCACGTACATATGTAAGTAATTTAGGTATGTACTCAAGGTAGGCCATCCTAGATACCGGTACACTAGATAGCTAAATAATTATACAAGGCTCTGTTCTCCATACCCAATCCTTTGGCCCCCAACCCAAGCACCAACGCTGATGGCTGTGTGCGTGTGCGTGTGCGCGCGACCCGGGTATCATAACGTCGTCATGTGAACGATTGGGTTTTTTGTACAGTCTCCCCCTTTCTCTCCCTGTCCAGCCCCTTGCGCCGTGGAAAACGAATCAATCAGGTCTCCAAACCAAGCAACCAACTAACCCACCCCCTTTCCCTAGGTAGGTAGCAGCAGTAGTAGCAGGATGCCTGAGAGATAGTGTAATATCAATAGAATAGAAGTAATAGGTACCCCGTCACAACCAAAAAAGCAAGGACCCTAGACACCCGACGCCAACCGAGAACAGCACATACAACCGATCCGGTCGCTGTAAAAGCGTCCCGCCGCTATCGTCTTTCCCAGACGTCCCCGTCGCCGTCGGAATCGTCATCGCGGCATTATTCCCGCCCCCACCGTTATGGTGGCCGCCAGCACCAGGAAATATAGTTATCGTGGACGCGTGCGGCGCGCCCAGCGTCCATGTCGACATGCCTACGCCGTCCGGCCCTATCGTCAGCGTGTGCCCTGCGATCACCGTTGTTACCGGCGTCGCCGCCCCGGGCCCGATGTGGAATGTCCGCCCGCTGATCTCCACCGCCGTTAGACCCAACTGCGTCACCGTTGCTCCGCCTACGATCTCGTACATAGTGGCGTCCGGGGCCGCCGTTATGCCTCCCAAGGTTTCGCCTCCCTCGTGCAAGACCACGCCGGTCGGGGCAACTAAAACCGTGTCCCCGTCGACGACTGTCGTGAGCGTGCTGCTGCCTAGCGCGGTTGACCCGTACGTTATTGTCGTGCCGGAGATTACTACCGTGTCGGAGCCGATAGCTGTGATCAGTTGTCCGCCCATGACGGCTGTCTGCGTCGGTCCGGACCCCGCGGCTACATGCAGCGTCTGGCTGGAGAAGATGAGCCCCGCGGGTCCGATGGTGATCGATTGTCCCTGGACTACGGCTATCGTCGGCGTGGGCGCGATGGTAAATACCGTGCCGTCTATCGTTGCGATTGAGGAGGGTCCGAGGACGACCCCTAGACCGCCGATAGAGGTTGTGATTGGTGGGAGTTGAGGTGTGAAACCCCCTCCTACGTCGATGGGGGGTCGGGTTACGGTGGCCCCACCACCTACTACCTGGGATGGGTCGATGACAAAGGTCTCGTCTCCCACGATCACAGTGGACGTCTTCTGCGCTGGGCTGTCGGTGAATGTGCGGTCGTCGATGATTACTTCGCCAGGCTGCACTATCACGGTTACAGGGGGTCTTCCTCCTTCCTGGTTATTCCCACCATTGGGAGGTGGAGTTGGCGAAACCTTGGCGGACTCGATGGGGGTCGGGTCCATGCCATACTCAGGGGTAATTACGTGGCCGCCGCCGCCCTCGACCGCTGTGTCGTGAGCATCTGGGCCGGAGGGCGATCCGCCGTAGCTAGGAGGTGCCTGGGTTGGAAATACCACGGCGGGATTCTTGTCCGTCGTAACGAAGGTAACCGTTGCCGTCGGCTCCGCGGGATCGGTAGGGGTGACGGTACCTGGCGGAGCGGAAGTGTGGATAAGGGAGCAGGTCTTGCCTGTGCTGTCACAAAAGGTAATGGTAAAGCGACCGGTTGGACTCGGCTGAGGAGTACATGGTATAGGTGTGCTTATAGGCGGGTAAGGGGGTGTGTAGTCGTCTGGATCTCCACTCCATGTCGTAGTGGATGTATGAATTATAGAGTAAGAGGTAATTGTTAATGGTCCGCTCTCTTTGGCCGGGCACTCGCTCGGCGTAGTGGTAATAGTCGAGGTCGTGCTGACAGTTGTTGGTGGTGGTAAGGTCACGGTGGGTGAGGTGAGTGACGAGCCACTAGAGGTAGTATTCCAATTCCATGGTCTCGACGTCCCATTAAAATTAAATGACGAGGTTAGTGTGGGAAAAGAGGTATCGTCTTCCGTGTTAGAACTTGGGCTACTGACGACTAGCGGGGAAGAAATGATAGGGCTGCCCCTTGTTGGGGATGATGTTGGCAATACAAGCGTTGGCCTCCCAATTGTGGTGATAGTTCCCAGGTTAAATAACGTCCACCAAGGATAGGATTCCGTTGAAGAAGAGCTATCTTCGGAGGGTTCCACGATCACAATGGAAGCGTCACTAGTAGAAGCACCAATTGTCGTAATTGAACTGACATCTATAGGGCCCTCATGTGTCTCCGAGCTCGACACTGCGAGATTAGAAGCTAGTATGTCAAACGAGCTGGTGACCACGACGGTCACCGAGCTGTTATACGATGGTATCCTTTTGTAGAACTGTCCAGGGCGGAACTCTACTATGTAGTTAATACGGGCGAGTAGCTAAGAAGGAAGACTAGGTAGCTAGTCTCAACTAACCATCTTTGTCTCTGACCGATTCCAGGCCATGACTTAGGGACACCACGACACACAGCAGTGTTGAGATAACAAAGAGCATTGCGTACCCAGGATGAGTACTGTCGTTCGCCCTATCTCTCTTTCACCCGGCGCTTACACCGGCGTGTTTACTTCGAGAAGAGCCAACTTCTCGGAATTTTTTACATCTGGAGGGAAACAGAAATGGTTTTATTAGATTACCAGAAATCATGAGCATCACGTGTAATATAAAAGCGAAGCGAAGCGAGACGAGACGCTGTAATAAAAGCAATAAATCCCCCACACGCAATGGCGGGCGGCGAATATGCGGCCGGGCCGTTCGACTTTTTATGTGAAGCGCCATGGCCATGACATGGCTCTCTCGGGAAGAGAGATATGGAGATATAGGGAGACAAGGGCATATAGAGAGACACAATGGTAGAAGTCCAGGACGAGCTAAGAGGCTGCCGGTAAAGTGGCTCGCAAAAGTACCATATTGAGCTGGGACAGACGAACACGGGACGGTTGGTGGTGACTGGTCGTGGGAATTAAGAAGAAGGAAATTGATTTGCGCCCGTTTTTGGCCTAAGTAGTGGGCCGATTCATTTGGGATGCCGCCTAATAAGGGGGAAAAATGCATATCCCCGGAAAAGACGTTGACCCCATACCATATAGGTAATTACTTCGTATGTATCACCTCGAGCTATCGAATTGGGTTGTATGTACCTAACGTATCGTAACTGTGAACCAGCGTTACTACTCCGCGCTCGCGGCGTTACGTGGTACTATGTAATTCTCCTGTACTGTCCAGCCGGTTTATAAGTCGAAGACGAAGAGCCGAAGGGCGATCTTCGGGCATCGTGTATGACCAAGAAAGACAAGACAGACTACCAATAAATGGAAGAGCGGAGACCTGGACGTTTGAATGGACAATGGTGAAAAGGAGGCGACGATCAATTAAATTTGCCGGATGAAGGCCAGATGGTGATATGTATTGCGAATACCGACCGTCGGGAACTATGTAAATGTGGGAGAGGCCAGCACTGTATGGACGCTGGAGAGCGTAGTATTTCGACAAGATGACACCTAATTGGGCGGTGTACGCTTAGAATCGATTTCGGATGGACACCAAGCTCCTCGTCTGGACTGCCGGTAGTATCCAGCTTGACCTTGACGTTTTCTGGCGGAGCTTGTTAACAGCTGATAGCTACCTACTGTAGGTAAGTAGCTCCCAGATATCAGGGTGGCGGTAATACACGAATTGGAAACATGTTTACGACCTCGATGACGTATTCTTGTAAATAGGGGCCTAGAAACTTCGGACGAAGTTCGCTGCATCGCCCTGACATAATTCGTAGCCTTGTGGGATTCTTATAGGATTCTCGTCAGATAGCCGTATCAGAAACCAACACCTCAGCATTAGGATCGAGCTGAGCTGCTGTTCCTGACACCAACTACGTAAGAATCGCGGCGTAAGAGTCGTGTTAGATAAATTGATCTATTGAACTAACTAATAAAAATGAAACATTATTATTTTGTTACAAACACTCAAGATGAATCTGAATGTCTGAATGACACGTGACGAGCAGTCACGTGTTGAGATGTACTAAGGTACATCTCACAAGTCGCGAGAATAACCAACGGGCATATAGCTCGACCGATTCGGATTTACAGTGTTACGAGGAGGAATAAGCCGACCAAGAAATCCTGCTGCATTCCTCTTCGATATTCCATGGTCTGGAAGTTAGCGAGTCCGAACTTGCCCTGCTTTAGCAAAGCAAACAAAGGATTACTATCGATTCGTTATCACAAATATCATCAATATCAATGTATGTATGTACATAAGTGAGTGAAGATGGATGCTGGCCATTACATAACTTATTAAATATAAACGGAGTGGGATAAATATGAGAATTGCTAATGCACAGATAAAGTTAAATTGTTGGAGACATGTGAGAACTTTAGCTGAGAACTCAAGTTACGGACAGGTACCTCCGATAGGATTCCCGTCTTTGCCCCAATCAGGTGTTGGCCTTTCCTCTTCTCGGACAGAGAACTTGCCTTAAGAATTCTAAGAGACGAAAGAAGGGGAGGTATGGTGGACCATTAGTGCAACTGTGCCAAAATCAAGAAAATTGGTCGCATTATGTTTAATAAGGTAATATAATAAGCAACGCTAAATACACAATACGCTATATACAAAATAAAATAAAGTTTAGTTATTATTATAAACATTAATATGCATCCGGGCTATCTTCCCCATTAATTTTTAACATTAATTAATTAAATTAAAAAATTCCATTATTAATTTAATTTTTAATTATTTAATATATATAATATATAATATATAATATATTTAAATAATTTTACGAAAATAACATTTTAAACATTATAATTAATATTATATTATAATTATAATTAATGCGAAAATAATGGATTAAATTACATGTTTATACGATATATATTAAATATTATATTATTATTAAAATATTTAAAGTTTATTTAAAATAATTTTATTAAATTGTTTTTAAAAAATATCACGTGTTTATTTTTTTATATAAACGTTATTTAATTTTATTATAATATAATAATTAAAAAGCCGATTTAAATGTAATTTAAATTATTATTTTCGTATTAATTAAAGTTATAAAATAATATTAATTATAATGTTTAAATTATTATTTTTATAAAATTATTTAAATGTATTATATATTATATGTTATATATATAACTCAAATATTAATATTTATTAAAATAATTTAATTGGTTAATTTTTTAAACTTTTAAAAAAAACGGTTTATATAATTACGTTTATAACTTTTTTAATATTTTTATTAATATTAAATTAAATTATATATAATTTAAATTATAATTTTTATTATTTATTAATTAAAATATTAATTTTTTTTAAAAAAAATTTAAATAAATATTTGTAAAATTATTATATTATTAATTTTAAAAAAAAATATGTATTATTTTATAAATTATATATATAAAACAAATAATTAAGTTTATATTATATTTTTAATGTTATTATTATTTTATTAAACATAATGCCATTAATTTTTTTAATTTTAACATAATTGCATTAATAGTTTATTATAAAAAAATTAAATAATTTAATTTATGTTTTATTTTTTACTTTATTTATGTAAAAACAATTTATATAAAAGTGTAAAAGTTTAATAAATTTATAAAATAAAGTTCATTTAATTTATGGTTAATTTATAGTTTAATTTAACTTTTAATTAATTAATATTTATTAAATATTTATTTTTTTATAATTAACTTAATTTTTAATTAATTAATATTTATTAAATATTTATTTTTTTATAAATTAATTTAACCATTTATAATTTAATTAATTAATATTTATTAAATATTTATTAAATATTTACTTTTTTATAAATTAATTTAATTATTAATTAATATTTATTAAATATTTATTAAATATTTACTTTATTAATATTATTTTAATTTTTTATAACGGTTATTATAATATTTATTTTATTATATAACAATTATGCCTTATATATTATATAACATTTATACAAATAAATATACCTTATAAAAATTCGCTAAATAATAAGGGTTTATAAATTAAGTAAACTTTATTCCACAAGTCTACTGAACTTTTACACAGGTCAGGTCATATCAGGTCTCTTACACAAACTGCCCCTGCACAGGTTAGGTAAAGTCAGGTAGGGAGCGGGGCATAGGTCGGGTCACTCATGCTCCCTCCACCATAGGAGGAGCGGGGTAACTACCGTAGTTTAGGTACCTAGGTACCGGCAGATACTGCAGATTCCATTGGGGGACGACCCACTGATCTCAAACCACCTTCCAATTCCCTCCGGCTCCTCCAAGTCGTCATTATCACTTATCTCAATCTTGTGCTTTTCTACCTTTCTACCCCTAACCTATTCTTCTCCAATGTGAACAAACCCATACCTGTATGGCGTATGTATTTTCCACGTATGAAAGACCGATTATCGCACTTCATGTATACACCACCGTCTAAATACCGCAAAACGTATAAGTAGAGGTACGCGTGTTCCATCGTCGGCTCCGTCGCCTTTTATTACTCGACGCATCGGCAGAAAAGGGCTACGTCGTTTCTTATTTACCCAGCCCTGTCCAATCTATCACGTATTAACCTGTTTCGGCCGTTGCCCAGCTTTTTATGCGAGCGACGATCATCAGATACCCCTAAACTTCTAACGGTTAGTACTCGTTCCGCTCTGCTACGCCGGCGGCCGCACGTATTCCTTGTTAGATAATCCGAGAACGAGGACCTTGGACTGCCGAACGCGCAAGGACAGGGTCATTTCGATATAACGCAGTACAACGCAGTAATTCTACGAACTGTAGTACCTTAGGTAGTCTACTTGCTATAGCGTTGTCGCAACGGAGAAAAAGCCCCAGGCGTTCCCAATTAGTCACGTAAGGGACATTACCTACTGCACAGCACAATTGCATTACAAGTCCACCCAGCTAGAGATCTACTGTGTACCTCACCTAGCTAGACCTAGGTACCTACATGTAAGCTACGGGTAGCTAGCTCTAGCGTTATCGACACCACCTTAACACAGGAGGATCTGGGGAATAGTAGGCCGACAAGCCACGCGAGAAGACAAGGTACATACGACTGTCAGAGCCGAGACTCATTTCACTCGCTTGTTCGCCCCTCTCCTGCATGAGCAGACAGATGAGGTACATACAGCTAACTGGTTAGGTGCTACATTCCGAGGTCGTGATTGATATTTCACAATACGTATTCTTGTTAGTGTTATACCACCACTGGCACGCTTTACGGATCGACTCCTACCTAGTGGCCTGGAAAAGGCCTAGAGTTGCTCCTTGTCGAATGCATTTATGCATTACCATGACTGGACACTAGCGAGGCTGCTAGCTACGTACACAGTAGGTATGTACATATTCTAAGACCGGTGATAGAATTCCATGTTCCATATTCTATGTATGCGGCCATGCAAGCTGGCAGGCCTGGCAGGTAGCGTGGCTCTGACCCCTGACAGGCACAACCCCCGACACCTCCACTGGCGAGACCATGGTGACTTGCATTTTAGCCACAAGGTGAACCCCATACCCTGCACGGTAGCAAGATAGCACGCTCCGTCGATCTGCATACGCTGCGAGTGGGCGTGACATGTATGGCATGGATTATAGCAGGCATGGCATTGGGCAGTGATTGTAGAACCGTTCATTACCTGCGCCCGGCAGATCCCACCACTGACGGAAATTCGCTTCGACTTGGTTGTTTCGTCTTATCTTTTTTTCTTCTTGCACCCAACCTACCGCGGATTTAACTCGATAACGTTATACGCGACTAATCGATCTTAGGCGTAACGATAGAGACGCCACGACGCCCGCAATCGTACCAAACCGCGTCGATTTTTGCATTTTCGGAATTTGATGGATTTGGATCAAAGTTACGTCGACGTCTCTGCGAGCCCCATGAAGCTTGGGAAGGGAAAAGGCTGGTGACCTTGCGCGTCTCCTGTATGACTGCCGGGTTGGTGCGATAGGCCGGACAATGTTTACATATCTCCTTGCGACTATCATCGGGACGTTGCTCGTACCCGATTTAGTCAATGCCGACGACCTCAGCGCTTTATGGATCGAGCCCTCTCTGAACTGGCATGTGTACCTGAAATTCTTTTAGGATGGGCATGGAGCTAATGGTGACTTAGGTACGGTGTTGACGGCAATTGGTCTTCGATTGGTCTCTTCGTAGGGGAACCAGCCCAGGAGATTGATGTTCTTGTGAGCACGAGCCTATCCGAGATATGGGTTGTCGAGTCCGGCGGTTGCGGTTCCAGTAAGTTTTTAGATGCGAATCCGG